GGTGGTGGTGGTGGTGCTGGTGGTAGGTAGTAGTAGTAGTAGTAGTAGTAGTAGTAGTAGTAGTAGTAGTAGTAGCAAGAGCAGAGGCAGGAGCGGGAACAGGAGCACGAGCGAGGGCAAGAGCATGAGGGATGGCCATAGCAGTAGCGGCAGTTGGAGCAATCTCCTGGCCCCGACAGCGCAAGATTTGCTATCCTCTGTCTCAAAGGCTTTGCACGGCTTTGCCTGGAAGAGGAATCACAGGATGCTTGGCTTGTCAGTTTACCACATCACGTTTGCTGCTTCTCTTGTTGCTATACAACTGCCGACAACACTAGCTGCTTGTTTTTGGATCGTTTTGGTGATGACCTACATTTTGCTGCCAATGCTGCATGATGTTACTGCTGATGCTGACGATGATGATGATGACAACTACGGTAATGATGAGGATGCAGATGATGGTTGTGAAGATGTTGATGCTGCTGGTTGTGGTGATGATTATGATTCTGATGGTGTGGCTTATGATGCTTATCGTCATGGAGATGACGGCCACAATGGTGCGTGTGTTGTGATGATGGTGAAGTTGGTGATGACGACGACGCTGCTTCCGGGCTTTGATTCTTTGGCGTTGGAGAAGTGGGCTGCATGTTTTCAAGCAGCCTAATCTGTCAGCGATGACACCGATTCCCGAAGGGTCATGTCTTTCAATCTATCCAGATTCTTTGACGAAACTGACCGCAAGCATAGACTTGGCCCTGAATTCGACGTCTAAAGCATCTTGGACCACCTTCCTCGGTACTGGCCAAGGGTCTGCATCGGTGGCTGTGTCCCCTCTGACTACACCACGGCGCACCTCTACAGTGAGACCAACTGCCGGGGACTTAATGCGCAGCAAGAGCAAGACAACCACCAACAGCAAGAAGGTTGGAGAAATCGCAAACCTCGCAGACTAGGATGTCAGTGTGATCTCCAGGAAGGCGTGAGGAAGCTCCCGAAAGTTGTGCAGGCATTGGAAGTTTCGTGCTTTTCGTTTGCACCGAGGCGATGCTGATGTGATATCCAACCTGACCACCTTCTTTATTTTCGCTATTATCACCGAAATCGCCCTTTTGATCTTGCCGATCATTCTGTCATACCTAGAAATTGCCAAGGACTGAAGCACAACATGCAGTGCCGGCTTACCTAAGGCTTGACGCCAGGCTAGGTTATGCCTTAGCGATAGAATCTGCAACCCCCCAGCATTTCGGCCAAGCCTGACGTTGCAGTGAGGAGTATGCGAAGATGACGCAGAAGGACTCCGACAGCGAAGATGGTCAGGATGCGAAGCCATACAGCTTCCTGCAGTGGGAGGCTAAGAAGTTCCCTTATGAGTTTGGCTCTTGGGGCGGGGACAAGGCCGCGACTTTGATCCAAATCCTTTTCCTCGCCGGTTGATAGTAGGGTGACAGCTTCATCAGAAGCGGGTCTGAAGCAGGCATCTAGAACTCTGCCGGAGACCACAATGGCTTGCAGTCAACAGCCCCTGCAGGTCAACGATTTCCTTGACATGTCGATCAACTACTCCGTCGTAGCATGCTGGGGCGTGATTTATCCCCCCATGGCCGCCATTGCGGCTATCGCTTTGTTCCTTGATTGATTCCAAGACTTCTACTTGCCATACTCTGTCCTCAAACGCTGAACCCTCCACTGGCCGCGACACCCATACTTCTCAATGGTCCATCCCCGCAGAATCCTGACGATTGGACGATTCAGTTGCTGACTTGGTGGCAACTGCACTCTGAGTACTGGTAGGGATTGTTGTCAATTTCATGCTTCTTGTAATTCTGGCAATACTGGCAGCCCGAACGGAAATACACAGAAATGCAAAAACGCTGGTCCAGACTATGAGCCAGTGCCGTCATGACAGCAACAAGTAGCAGCGGGAGGAGTAGTAAGTAGCAGCAGCATTATCAGTGTGAACAGCAACGCAGGGTTTCGGGATTCGGGATCCAGAATCCGACGATCGCAAGGTTTATCCTCCTGCGGCTACGCGTCTACCGGAGTCTGTATGTCACCCGGAGGCCCTTGCCCAGGGCCAGTGCCGGCCTAGGAATTTGGAGGACCACCGGATTATCAACAGCGGGGCACAACTTTGCTCGCGCCTCTCCTCATACACACATGCATACTCATGAAATCTCACGTCATCTATAAAATGGTTGCCGTTGCGCGTAGTCATGTCCCACTGGCAGCGCATTTCCAAGGAATGATCGTTTTGTGCATGAGCATGCTCATCGTATCTGTTTCTGGCAAGGCGTAAGCAGAACTCTTTCGAGTCAGGATATGAATTTAATCAGCAGAACCCAGTACTGTGCTTCCTGCTGCCGGCTGCACATGTTCTTTAACATCCTTTAACATTGCATGAATCTCTGAATATCATCCGCACCGTTCTTTCGGTGATAGTGATGCTGCAGCAACTGATGTTGCCGTTGCGGACTCGTTTGTTGTTTGTTTCTTTTTTGATGTTGTCCGTTTACTTTCACTGTTTGTGTTTCACCTCGGCTGCGATCTTGATTCGTACGTGGTACTTTCTACACGTTTGCTTGTTTCTACACGCCAAAACCGATTTGCGAAGTGCCGGCGATCGACTGCCGACAACTGCGCATCAACCTTGTCAAGACAACGAAAACCCTAGACCCTACACCTAACCTAACCGGTCAGACAAGTAAGTCTTCAATGAAGTGCATGCAGCAACATGCGGTCGTATCCCGAAAGTGCCAAAAATCAGAGTCAGAAAGAGCGTTAAACGAAGCAGCGCAAATTACAGACTAGGCCAGATCACATCAAGGCAGCGCGCAGGCAACAACAAGCCGTAAAATGAATAGCAAGACTCAAGATCTCAAAGTTAGCTCCATAAAACTTCGGCCACGGTCAAGCATCATAGTTGTGCTGCATGTGGTATGTTGGTGGCTGGTAATGGTGGTCTGCATCTGAAGCTGTTGAATTTAGCTCCAAAGGCCTGTGCGGATGTCATTCAGTGTACAGGACCATTTTCCAGTGCATCAACATCACGGCAGTCGCCTGCAATGTCGGCTTGGCTGCTCTGTTCTTTTATCCAATGCGTACGAGGCCTCGAGCTGCTGAGGGGCCAGAAAGTAGGTTCGAGAACTTTTCATCGTGAGCGGCATAAGAAGCTGCTGTCCCCAAGCTCATCACAGTATCAGTGTCCTGATCGCTTGATTCTGGGCTTGGGCCGTGTTGGAGTGATGCTGCTATTGCAGAGGCATGGATGGAGTAGCTGTGTGGGGGGGGGGGGGGGGGG